TGAACCATTGATACAAGGCAGGATGGATCCATGCCACCAAATTCTGGCCCTACCATCTGAATGTTGCAGCAGAAATCTAGACTCATCAGACCAGGCAACATTTTTTCATTCTTCTACTGTACAATTTTGGTGAGTCTGTGCAAATTGTAGCCTCAGTTTCCTGTTCTTAGCTGATAGGAGTGGCCCTCAGTGTGATCTTCTGCTGCTGCAGCCCATCCGCCTTAAGGTTGTTTGAGTTACTGTTGCCTATTCTATCAGCTCGAACCAGTCTGGTCATTCTCTTCTGACCTCTGGCATCAAGAAGGCATTTGTGCCCACTGAACTGCTTCTCACTGGATATTTTCTTTTTTAGGACCATTCTATGATGATTATAAAGATGATATAGAGATGATTGTGCATGCAAATCTTAGCAGATTAGCAGTTTCTGAAATACTCAGACCAGCCCGTCTAGCACCAACAACTATGCCACTTTCAAAGTCATTTAAATCAGCTTTCTTCCCCATTTTGATGTTCAGTTTGAACTGCAGCAGATCGTCTTGACCATGTCTACATGTGTGTGTGTTTGCAGAGTGTGGACTACAGTGCTAAAATTACCATGTTAATACTGTACACATGGAAAGAAAGTAAAGTGGTTCACTCAAGACATCAAATTTAAAGTGTCTAGCAGGAATGTCAATGGTTGCATGTGTAATGGCATATGCACTTATATATGTATACAGTGTACACCTACTGTAAGACAGTACTCGGTTAAAATCAGATAGGTCTGAATCTAAAACATTTTACACACCAAGTATGTAAAATCGTGTGTGGAGAGCTTAGAAGGTTGTTTTTTTTTTACCTTGCTTTAGCGAAATGTCTAGGAGTGGAAAGCACTTTAAAGTGTGCATGTGTTCAGCATATAAAAAACCATAAAAGGACAGCAAGACATCAACATCAGTCCTAAAAAGATGACAGCAATTTAGTTGCACTTACCTGCTCACTAATCTCCAGAAACAACAACTGGGAATTTCTATATACAACTTTTAACAATTTATGCAGTGAGTGTGTCAAGTTTCGACGTTTTATTTTCTTTTTTGTATAAAATATCATGGAAACACGAGCTCAACATGCTTTTCAATATGACTCACACAGTATGATCAGGCTTAATTTAGCCTATTCACCCCACGTAATCGAGTTTGAGGCTGCGTTCCATTCTGTAGGATTCTGATCGTTTTAATCCCTTCAAAGTTTTCACACTCCAGAGTTGAGCTTTGAAGGTTGAAGGGTGTAGGCGGACCAAAAAATCTTCATTTGAACCCATTTCGGCATCATATTACGTCATCTGCGTCTCAAGTTAAACAGACGCAAAAATCCATCAGTTGCACACTTTTAAATCCTCTTTTTTTCCCCAGTGGGCCCTTTGAATTGGCCCGTTTGAGCACTTTAGTTTGGAATCTTTCAATATGGCGGCCATGATCTCATGCTAAAGTCCCCCTATCGAGACAGATTCCAAACCAGGCTTGTTCAGCACTGATAGAATATATGAAATTTCTGCACTGTGGAAAAATGTAACATTTTATAGTGCATTTAGTTATTATTTATAAGGCCATTTGATGATTTCAGTCCCAGATTTCAGAAAAAACTATGTATTTTTCAGCTTCTCTCCAGTTACATACAGTTTAAACAGTCTCTCGCTCATGTAGCAATTTCAAAAGCATCTGGCTGCAGCCTCAGATATGCAGTCTCAGACATACTGTATGCACTCAAAAGCTAACATAACATGCTACTGTTTACAATGTGTAAGCTATTGAATAATGAATGATGCATATTCTGACAAAATTAGAGAGTGATCAACTCTTTTAATTAAATTTTACAAGCAAAATATACATACATTGTACTGTAGAGGAGCATAGTACACAGCTCACACAGAATTCACATTCAACCCATAACTTTCTATAGATCATCACAGAGAATTTAGCAGCCAACTTGAGCATAAGCAGAATATACACTACTGAACAGATTTCAGACCACTGCTATATAAAATAGTATGTGAAAGGAAGAGCATGTCCGATTTCACAGGCTTCTTTCCATTCTGAAGGTTCGTCCCTATGCCCTAATCCCTTCAAAGGGTTTACCCTTCAGAGTGAGACCTTCAATGGGATAAAGGGAGTAGGGATCAAAGAAACTGTTACTTGGAATGCACTTTTGTATCACCTGTCACAACTTAAAGATGCACAAAGACTGATCAGAGTTGTTGTTTTTTTAGCCAGTTTTGAGAACTTCTGTTTGAAATGACCAGATGTTAAGTTGGAATGTAAGGAATGTCCAGTGCTGAGGCTTATGCTGGTGACCCATCAGTGAACAATTTAGGCTGTGATTTTACACTAAATTAATTTAAGATTGCAGATTTGTTTCTTTGGAGCACACAATGCATGAGGTGTAATCATGTTTACAAGAACACATTAGAAATTTAGCAAACCCTTCATTTCACTGATGCTATTAGCAGGTTCGGCATACTGTCCTGGGAGAGAACGAAGATCAACTCAATTTAACCCAGGGCTCCCACCTGGTCAATTAGAATGTAATGGGTAGGTCTCCAGAGCTCCCCCTGGTAAAAGGGGGGGGGGGGGGGAGCTGGGGTGAAAGGGGAGATTCTTTCAAAACAAAGATAAGGAAGTAGGGTAAAATCAGTATATTTATTGTATGCTTGGATCAATCTGATTGGATTATTGCTGATTACGGATAAGAGCCCAGCGTGATCACATGCTCCTCTCAAAAATTAGTTTGTAAAACTTCACTTATCAGCACAGTTGGAGTGATGGTTCATGCGCTTGACACATTGGCATGAAAGAGGATGAAGCAATGGACTACTTAAAAAAGTAAGTTAAGTCTGTTGCTAAATCATTACTTAACTATAGAATCATAAAGGCTACCTGTTTGTTGACACAGCCTACATTTTAGGTCTAGAACTATAGTTCTATATAAAATAGATTTGTTACTACATGTAAGTAAACAGTGTCTCTTTTTTGATATGGACATTGATTTTAAGCGACCATAAATGTATGTTGACACTCCTCCCGTCAGATTCTACTGGCAGTTTTCTGCAGTTGAATGTGCTGCCCAGAATGACCATGTCAGAGCTTGTGGACTCATTATTATTCAATCAACATTTTTCATAAGAACAAAGTTTGGCTGCCTCTCATGAAATAGTTCCAAACAGTCACAGCAGAGCCTCCGGTGTTTTGTTGAATAAAGAATTAGCATTTGTTTAACAAATCAAGTGAGTTGTAGTGAGCCATTCCTACAGACTGCAACAAAAAAAATGCATATTTTAGTTAAAAAAAGGGGGGGGGGCATATGAAGGATTAATACATAGAATTTGAAAGTCATAAAGGTTTAAAACCACATGAGGGCGAGTAAATGAAAATTAATAGTATAATTAAATAATTAAATATTTTTTTAATTAAAATTTTTATTTATCCAATAAAACATTATGAAAACATAAATTAATCATAAACAGTCAATATCTTCTCTCATCACAGAAAAATTGCGCAGTACCCTGCACTAAATCAGCAATGGTTTTGTCGGACTACAATTGATGTCTGTGCCATCACAGTTTGGCAAGAGTGAGGGGTAGGAGATGGGGAGAGCGGGTGTTGCCGTTTTAGCCCCGAATAATATCGCAGGGGTGCCCCTTAGAATCGTAGTATCGTGCCCCTACGTAACCCCAAACACCCTCCCCCTCCCCCACCGTAACCCTGTTAAATTAGTGACGTCTTCTGCTGTTTTGACGTCAGCTGTAATTGTGAATGAAGGCGGAAGAAAGTAGTTCCTGATAGAAAAAAAAAAGTTTTTAGACCTTCTTATTTATATACATGAGTGTGTCGTCAAACTGTTGTTTAAACGCAATATCACACTCGTAGCAGTGCGATACAGCTGTATATCAGCACTGGTGACCCCCAGCGACCCCTCTCCACATTAAATTTTCTAAATAAGAGTATGAAACAGTACTGAGCCCTGTTTACTGATATCTGGTGATCTTGATAGTTTTGATGAAGCAGTGCTTCAAACCTAACCATCACAGCATATGTAATGGAGTGAAGAGTGTATGAAATGTCCATTTACTGTACCATCAATGTTACGAATGCACCTGCTCTCTGATGGCTAGTACACAATGGTAGGGGTTGAAATGAGGTATGTGTTCATGTATATATGTGTGTATACTGTATGTCTTTATATGCCGCTCACAACACAGAAGAGCACTTCTTAGGGGATGTAAAGTAGTTACTTTTTTTTAATGCAAGTATACTTAAGAGTATGTGATTTTGGATGGAGCCAATAACTTTCCAAATCACATACTACTTCAGCCCTCAATAAATCATCCACTTTGTACAAATCTACTGAATGAATGATATAGTGACAAAGACAGTGACTTGCTGCCATGTCTAGGTAATATTAATTAAAATTTTAAAGTATCATTTCAATAATTTAAATAACTTAATATTTAAATATTGAGGGAAGTCTAGGGTTCTCTCCTCTGCCCAGCCCAGGAAAATAAGATGAAAATGAATGAATTTATATATTGAGCATTTAAAATACAATACATTTAAACTAACAGAAACGTAAGAATTACATGAAATATAACACATTTAAGGTTTGCTTATTTGCTTCTTTAACACTTTTTAAAGAACAAATCCATTGTACAAACAGTGTCAGTGTTCATAAAACAGCATCACGAAAAGCATCTGGATTACAAAATACATCTGTCAAGATTCTAAAGTGTATATCCACTAGAAAAAAAAATGCTTTAGGGTTCCACAATACAAACTGTGAACTTTTCAGCCTTAGCCAGCTAGTTTTTTACTGAACAATTGTAAATGTTAATGCGCAGTCACTATTGTTAACCAAACGAGTAGGCAGTGGCAAGCTATTTCATTCCAAACATAGCTTGTAACAAGCCTCCCTTCTGCTTCATCTTGGACTATTGTGGCAACATTTCCAGGTGAAGGGTCACTCACTGCACATGCACTATAAGTAATATATGTCTGTCCATGACTTAAACCCACAGCTCAAGGTCTGACAGAGAGAGATCTTCATATTCCATTCCCGCAGAGTGTGTGTGTGATCGTGCAATATCAACCCGACATGATTCTGGACAACATCAGGAAATCAGGTAAAGATTCTCCATAATGCTTTAATAATGTTTCTACTGTGTTATGTGATCCATGAAAATAGCATGATTGTACAAGAGCACATTTTTCTAGCATACCGTCAGCTTACAGTTCCCTATAATTTGTTTCCTGAAATCATATTTTATCTTATCCTTTTCCTTAATCATTTCGGTGTACGAAACCCTCCTCCACTAAATGGCTTAAAGCCAGGATTTGTAATATTTAAGTTACATCAGCAACATTATTCATATATCTTTTGTATGACTGCCTTGCTTTCAATGCTTGTGAGAACACACTGCATTAAACTCCCAATGGGGATTTCATGCACACAGCGGGGTATTTATATATTGAGGCTGCCATGTTTTATGGCCACAAGAGTAATTAATTTAATATAGCTCACTGTTCAAATTTCCTATAAAGACGCATTTGATCTAGTGTTGTGCAACATCAGAGTGACTTGACTGAACAAAGGCTTCTTTATGGTTCAACAGTATATTAAAGTAACCAGAGAAGCTAAGTGGTTAAAATTATATTAGCATTAGCACCATCAATAATTGTCAACGGCCTGCACTCTGGGCCACTTTTAGCATTCTGCTTTCAGTGACCACATACACGCTCCAGTGTTTTGTGAAGGACTGAATTGAAATGCAGGAGTGAACTGGATTTATAAGGTCAGTTTTTGTTCTGGCAGCGACTGAATATGTATAGGTGAAAAACTGTCAAAAAAGTAATATAGGCCTATTATAGTTAAGTCTTTTGAAAACAGTATTGGCAATAATACTCTGATTAAGAACTCTTGAATTCTTTGGAACACACTGCATCATTCAATGTGTTGAAACAAGCATGCAAACTGGGTGGAAATATTTAGCAACTCTTCCACTTTTTTAAAAGAACCAATAGCATTTTGTTTCTATCACATCTTAATGACAGCTACAGTCTCAGAGACTGTTTAATTGCTTCTTAGCTTTAATAATTGAACTACCAGAATGTATAACTACTAGAATGGCCATAGTGGCCATTCTGACTGTACTAAATAATTTTTTTGCCTAATTTACATTTGAAACTTCAGAATTTTAAAATTAAGTTTTGAATGCTATGATTTATTTATTTTATTTTATTTTTTTTGTAATATTGCCAACAGTGCCTGCACAATGTGGCTTACTGAATGTGTTTAAACCATGTATGCGCACAAGATATCCATTACTTTAGTTTATGGACTCATTCTCTGATTCACACCCTGAAGCTGAACATGGTGGTAAGTGCTGAATGCCAACCGCCGTAAAAATGCAAGAAGTTGTTGTCCTTTACACAATGACGTTGTAACCATAAAAATCTACTGAAATTTCTATAAATTTGCCTATAAAAGCTACATTGCTCTAATTCTCTGGTAATGATCATGCTCTCAATCTTATTGTTATCTTTTTTTTTTTTTTGTTACACTGCAAATTAAAAACAAAAAAAAATTCTAAAGGCAATACCTAGATTTAATATGTAATGTAATGTAATGTAACGTGTAATTATATAGCGCATTTATTGTGTATGGCCATACACTTAAAGCGCTTTACAATCATGAGGGGGGTCTCTCCACACCACCACCAGTGTGCAGCATCCACTTGGATGATGCGACGGCTGCCACAGGACAACAGCGCCAGTGCGCTCACCACACACCAGCTATTGGTGGAGTGGAGGGACAGTGATCATACTGTGAATACTTTCCTTGCTGAAATTTCGTTCAATATTGAATCTCTTAAGCTTATTATTCTTGTTAATAATGTTAATAACATGTTTCTGAAAGCTTATAATAATCTTTTTTCTTAATGATTGAGGCTTTGTAAATATCTTTTTTCCCTCTTTTTTCTTTCCTAACATTTATTATTGTATTTTCAATGCATTGATGTTATTTTTATTGTATTCAATAATATATATATATATATATATATATATATATATATATATATATATATATATATATATATATATATATATATATATATATATATATATATGTTATATAAAGAATATGAATGAATGAATGAATGAATGAATTATAAACATATTTTTGTAAAGTTAGGGTACTATTAAAACAGGTTTTATTTTGATGCAGTTAATGAATTACAACATTTGAAAGCAGTCCAAATGACTGCCTCTGTAGTTATATTGTTAAAACTACATTTACAAACAATGTAAAAACTTTCTACTTAACTACTAGTATGATCGTGAGTCTACCATAACTACCACAGTAACTAACTAACTAGCTAGTCATTTGTTTCCTGAAGTGAAGTGAAAAAAAATTCTGTTGAAAAATTACAAGTACAGTTCTTCATGTATATGCATACACAGTTTTGCACCTAAAACATAAATGTACTGTTAATTAATCAAGCATTTAATCAGTCAATCGATAGCATATTTAATAAAGTTTTAAAATTTTAAAATCATGGCTCACTTTTAAGTTTATTTTATTATTTTTTTTACGTGATTGTTTTTTGACTATTTAAAAAAAATAATAGTGTAGGTTATTTTGAGACAGCATATGTAGGTTATAACACAACTATAGGTTATTATAGCACCTTCCCATCTATGGGTTATTTTAACCCAATGCGTTGGGTTATAGGATTTAACTAACTAAATGTATTTTATTATTATTATTATTATTATTATTATTATTATTATTATTTTTATTTTTTTATTTTTTTATTCTGGTATTACCAGTACTAGCGCTACTATTAGGTTTAAATTTATGGCTGGGTAAATAAATACTATACAAAAATATTGAAAATGCTTTATTTCCATTTCATTTTAGTTCCAGACACATTTGTTAAAGGGCGAGGCAGTGTCGCAGTAGGTAGTGCTGTCGCCTCTCAGCAAGAATATGTGGAGAATATGGAGCTCTGTGTGCTATAGAGGCTGTGCAGCAGCTGCAGCAGGCTTCAGTCAGTGTCCACAATGTACAATACATTTTAACCTCATCCACATGCTTCTAAAAGACGATCTTGGATGGTAAAACGGATATAAAAACCATGACACAGTGGTAATTTGTAAAAAAAAATGATTCGATATGGCTTAAATCAACTTTATAACACAAAAACAATATGCATGCATAATACGGCTGTTTTGTGTCAGTTAAATCAGTTTATTGTTGAAATTAAAATTTTTAACCTAACTAGTTGAGTTATCAAATAAATACCCAAATAAAGGTTAAAAATAACCCAACAAAGCACCAAATATGTTTAACTCAACCATTTAGGTTAAATAAATAATTCAAAATTTTTTAGAGTGCGAGTTTCCATCATAATATAGAGCATGTAAGTACATGCACACTTGTCAATAACTTATCAGGCTTGTACATTTAAACTGACATAATTAACTTCATGGGCTTTTTTGGAAGATGGAGCTTTGAAAAAACTGGAAAGTATTTCCAAAAGACTGGAAATATATGTGATGCAATAATGTACGGTATGCACAAAACAATGTTTTTTAGAAATATTGAAGTATGTTAACCTTTTCTACTACACCCAATAAATAAAATAATGACCTTTTGAAACAGCATCATATAGCCTTTTTAAAAATTAATTGACATCCTTTAACTGAAAACCCAATTAGTGAATTTTAATCAACAGCTATGAAAGTGTATAAATTATACACTTCATCTTTAACATTTACTAGCAATCCAATTTTGTAGTAATTAAAACCCAAAGCTGTAAATAAGGATTACTGATTCAGTTTATTAGCAGTAATTTAGCAGCTGGCATAATCTGCATTTCCCATACTGCAGTGGTTGTTTATCAGCTTTTTTTTCTTTAACATCTTCTGAACAGAACTCCGTGAGAGACTTTAAACAAGCTTGGACACATTAGGGTTGAAAACGAGCAGCATAAATCAGAAAGAGACAGGATACAGGAAGAAAAATGGTGGCATATTTGTGCATAAAGTTGAAGCGCTCTGAATCATATTAAACAGCAGAGCGGATGCCAGTTTAGCTAACATTATTAGCAGCTAAGTTTCACATCAAAGTCCTCCCCTTTTGATTAACCTCATATTTCATCAACCTCAACCAGTTGGGAACCAGTTGGGAGTCTAAACATTGCCACTGGCTATAGGATTATGAGAGTCTCTTATTGCCTTTCTGCTCATGAATATCCAATGAATACAATAGAGAGAGAAAATAAAAAAAACAAATGAAGGAACTTGATGGTCTTTGGTGGCAATCTCTCTCTGCGTGGGACGCCAAAAGGGGATTTCTCTTGTGCTTTGCTGTTTGTCTGTGATTACTGTCTTGCAGGTGGTCAGACATCCAGAGAGCAGAAATGGCTGGGAGGCTAATTGTTTTCCTCTGCCCCCTGATGACCGGCCAGCGTGTTTTCATCCGCATTTGCATTTCTTTTTGTTTAAGCCCAGAATCCTCTTCAAATCCGCTTCGTAGATCCACTGTGTTATTAAACATTTACGGAATTTGTTTGTCTGATATTTCATAAAAGGCTAAGGGGGAAAAAACTGAATCAAACTATAGTCTTTTATTGGCTTTTACAGTGTTTGTTGTTGTAAACACTGCTTTTAACCCTGAGTAAAGGAATGTTTCACACTTGTTATGTAGAAGTGAGGTCGGCATAGCTTTTTACTCCAGAGAGAGCCTTTGTTTCACCTAAATCAGTCCTCACAAGACCTCAACATCACAAGATGCACACACAAGGATTGGAATCTACTAGATGCAGGGTAAAAATGCCAAAAATATGAAGTATAGCTGTAGGTAAGCAATGTCATAAAAGAGAGTGTATCATCATCATCATCAACAACATCAAAGCCTGCAACCCCTATGGGGCATAGACATCCACAAGCTCTCTCCAGACATATCATCCTAGTGCCAATTTTTCCACCTGCATCCACATAGTTCATCTTCTTCAAGAGTGTATCCGCTCACTTGCAAATGTCATACAATCACAGAGAGAAAAGATACATGAGCTGCGACTGGGCTGCATGCTAGTACCTAAAGGGCCCATATTTGGTGTGTTAATATTTATATTATAATTTTAATTATCTGTTTGAGGTATGTCAATTTATTTTTATGCTATTGATGAAGTAGTATTCAACTTTAAAGCTCTTTAGACCATGTAACTTTAGTAACTTTTTGATTTAGTGGCTAATTCGTATGAATTTGTACGATCTAATTGATACAATTCATTACGATTTGCTCATTCTTCAATGACGGTTGGGTTAAGGGATGGGGTTTGGTGCCACGCCTCCTTTTTAAAATCGTACAATTTCATATGACTAAATGTGTACAAATTCATACGAATTAGCCACTAAACTGTATAGTTTCTGGTAAGATCAGGCTGGCCGTACCGTTTCTCTGCGTTTCAATGGTTATGTCTTTAAATAAATTATTATTTAGGCCTGTTTAATTATTAATTTATTATTTATGACAATAATTAAGAGATAAAATGAGTAAGTAAAATATAATCAACAAAAAAATGTAAATGAAAACTGTAAATGGAAACATAAATGAAAAGCTTACTTATTGAATGTTTTAGTCCCATCACACAAATAACAAACACTGCACATCTCTGTATTTAGGCTAAAACACTGCTTTATTCATGTATTTGTTTATTTGTTTATGTTTGTACTGTCATTTTAGTTGCCTTTATTTCTTCATTTTTTAATTTCCAAAATGAATCCTCATTGCACTAAACAAGTTTGCTGAAATAATAAAGCTTGTTAACAAGTTTTTAATAATTTATGAAGGAATTATAATGCTTGTTTCATTATTTCATCTTCATTTACAAGTAGCAGAATACTTAAATCTACTGTAGAATTATGTCTGTTCGCATCCCGTCTCTTTGTGCCTCCTGGCGGTATTGTCACAAACTGCTAAACATGTTTTTTTAATCCCTTGAGGTGGATTTATACTTCTTTGTTGAGTGATCGACGTAACCCATGGTGCCAGCTTTGCCCAAAGTCGTGCATTTAGTTCTGCATGCTGTTTGTGTTGTTTTGAAATGGCACTTTCGACACGCTAGCTGCCAGTTGGTTTTTATGTTTCTCTGTGGTGAGTTTCTTCGCTGGTATTTTGTTTTTACTAAATGGTATAAGTAGGCAAAACTTGCTCATTCAGTGGCGGTAACCGGCAGACGTGCAGCAACTTTAATCATAAAGGTAAACACAAAACAACAGTTTCCATCTGGAGCTCTTTCACAGGACTCCACACTTGTAAACAATCACTCCATCAGGCTCGTGGCTCTCAGCACCGGCCATGCTTGTCATCGATAACAAGCTGACCAATCACAGCGATACGCATCGTTGTAATGTGTAGTTAAATTTTTCGAGAGGCGCATGTCAGCGCCGGTGTCAGCCAAAACATACAAGGGGACATAGCTATATTTGTTTGATTTGTTGTTGCAATTTGCAATTTCTTAATTGCATTGTCACTACTGTATTTACGATACACGTATTCGTATTGAACCGTTCGGTATGAGACTTTCGGTTTGGTACGCATTGCAAACTGAACGATTCAGACTAATATCTAAATTTTGCCCCAATGCTTGCCTCGCCTTCAAGCTCTTCTTATTAGCCCTATGCGATAGAACCAAACGCAAAGGAATTGGTTAATATCAGCTGTCAATCACTCAGTTCCGATGACAGGGTGCTACATCCGCAAAATTGCCAAGGGCTAGATCTGAGAGATTGAAAACAAAACTTACAGATTTAGTTTTAGAAACCAGCTAGAGTTACAATTAATGGCACATTTGATCAGTGATCATGTGCTGAATGTCAATCCAGCATTTACACTTTACGAAGAGTGGACAAAAGACTTCCAGTGGTTAAAGTCCACTATGAAAATGACTAAAGAATTCATCGTGAAACCGGTGGGACAGAGTTTTCAGGTAGGCTAACAGTGTTTGCCACTGAATCTACACAAGAGATGTTCTAACGTTATTTAATCCTTCATTTAATCATCACAATACTGTCAATCGTGCGACATACACCACGTTCGCCATCGCTAAGGAGCATGCATTCACTGAGATAAAACTAATCTTGTAGCTCATGAAAAGACTTACTGCTTTTAAGATGATGTATGCAAATAATACGTTATATGTCAATATCATCTGTGCAATATCAAACACCACTCGTGAGAACAGCACAGTTATTATTGTTAATTCAGTTCATCTCATTCATGTCAAGCAGTGTGTGCAGGGCCGGGAGCGCATGCAGATTTTTGTTTATTTGTTAGTTGTGTTTAGAGTGTTAATATATAATATAATCTGTTAATATAAAATGTGTAGTAACGTGGCTTATAATTTTTGGTGGGTGCGACTACATTTTGTCTGGTGCACCAAAATTTTTGAAGTTAGGAGCGCCAGAGCTACAAAGAAAAAAAGCTTCATTTTGAGCCCTGTGAGACCTTAATCGGTAGTGGAAATGTCGGGTTTTAAAAAAATATGAAATGTAATAGAGCCCCGTTACATTATTCCTTCATAAGCCCATTTCAGTCAGATAATTCCTGTTTTTTAGATCCACTAAAATGGCAGGTGATAGTCAAATCAAGCAGATCTGTGCTGTCTGAAGGAAAGGTGGGCACTCGTCTTTCTAAAAATAAAAAATTGCTTAAAAAATTATTGAAACTCAGTTTCATATAAAAACTAAATTGATCTTTTCTTTTTATTTGTTCAACTACTACAATATTATATTTATTTTTTATAGGAAGCTTTTTGGTTTTGAGTATAAAGAAGGATTTGTTTAATTTGCTGCTAAGCAGACACCTCAGAAGTACAGCTCTATCACTGTTTAAAGTAAAAGAAAAAAGCAAGATCATACTTCTCTCATGTTAGTTTTAATACATTTAAAAAAAAATTAAATCAGATAAATCCTTTGGCTTTTTTCCTTTTTTGTTTTATCGAAAACATACTGAACCATGAGACCACTGTGTCATATCGAACCAAACCATGATTTTTGTGAACCGTAACACTCATGCGAGTAGATTTAAGCTCTGGCGGGTTAGACAGCCAGACCCTGCCGGTATGCTATCCTTAATTTTGAGCTCTAAAAAGTCATGTGAAATAAAAAAAAAAATTGTAATATGACCCAGTTGCTTATGCTCATACACGACACACAAAAAGTGATTTTTGTGAAATGAATGAGGACTCGAGGACATAACACAAAATCTAAGTCAAGTAATTTTAGCATGTCAAAGTCAAATGTATGCATAAAAAAAATGTATTTTCCCAACAACAAAATTGTGGCTTGTGAAAAACTATTAGCCACAGTGGCAGGTGATCAGAAAAGTTAATATCAAGCCCTGTGTGTGTGTGTATATATATATATATATATATATATATATATATATATATATATATATATATATATATATATAATTATTATTATTATTATTATTATTAAACTTATTATCTTACTAACAAAAATATCCAACTTATGTTTATGCATGACTTTCTTTTTACTGTAGAACAGAAAAAAATATATCACTAGTGGTCACAAAAATGAAATACTGAAAAAATGTGCATTAATTATGCAGCATTTGTTTTAAATAGCTTAAAGATTAGATTTTTTTTTTACATTCCACAACATAATCCTTATACAGTGTATTGCAAATAATAATAATAATAATAACAGCTAAGCATGAAAATAAACTATGTTTCAGCTTAAATATTGTTCAAGGTGTTCATCTTCAAGACATCATTATGATAAATATGTTGAAAGCAGTTTAAGATTGTCATCCAAAGAAAACAAACTTTAAGGAGGAGGAGGAGAAGGGGGATATTAAAGCAGCTGAAAGTGTTGAGCCAGAACTGTGACTTGTGCTACAACTAATTTCCAGGAAGTAAATAGCTAAACATCAATCATGACCTATATCATAGCTGTGGGTGAAGTCAACATCTTTTGCAGCATCATTTTACAGAAAATGAACAAAGACTTGAACTCTTGTGTTGTTTTTGCTTTGTTTTTTTGTTTTTTTTGTTTTTTTTTTTTTTGTATTTTGTTCTTCTTTTCTTTCAAACAATTTTCTTTCAAGCACTTGGAGGGAAAGAAACTTTTTAACGACATAGTCAGACGCATCCATATAAGACAAATTGATTTGATCTATCTATCTATCTATCTATCTATCTATCTATCTATCTATCTATCTATCTATCTATCTATCTATCTATCTATCTATCTATCTATCTATCTACAATATTTGTTGATTTACCAGAACATTGTAAATATCACTCTGAAGGAACTAAGTCTCCTTTTATTGATATTTTGAAGTGCTGTAGGAGGTTAGATTGGTAAACACAAAGGTAGTTTGGAAGTATTAAAAGCTTTGTCAAACGTGAATCATCCAGTGTCAAGTATGAGTTATTTTGACTCTGTAACCTCAATGCTAGCTTCATTTTCACTTCAATATCATCAAATTTGCTTTAAAACTGTAGCTTTTCAAGACAATCACAGCTTTTGAAGCCATTCAAGACAAAAATGTTCAAAGATCTAGATAAATGCCATTATTATGTACTGCATTCATTAATTCATGCATTCATTTTGTAACAAGGGAGTCGTATGACAACAGAATTGAGGATCTACGTGCAGCTTATTAATAAGATTTATTACCAAGTAATGAGAGGTGATCTGGAACTGGTGTGTGTGTGAGGTGCCTGGTGGCAAATATAGCGCAGTTCAGTGGCAGAAGTGGCACAGGCTAAATCACTGGTGATTGTGACACATTTAATCTGAGCTCCCATTGCACCTGGTATTAACATGCATTTTTGTGCTCTGTTTGGGTTAATCAATACATCAAACAATCATTTAAAAATATATTTATATATTTTACATAATTTTAATATTTTGGGTTTAAATAACAAAAAAATGTTAAGAAGCAAGTTTTACTTTGTTGGATACTTTCAATAACAATTGTCTCTCTCTTTCGCAGATATGGATTGGAACTTGACCTAGAATCTAAAAGGACAAACTCAGGTAAGTCTTTGATAAACTTAAGCCAAGAGCAGATTAACTTGATTGAAAGGTACATTACTTGATTGAACACATTTCATAATTACCTCATTTGCTTAAAACTTTTTGCTTAAAAAATAAGATAAAATTGTTTGTATAAGCTAAATATATGGTGTTTGTGATTATAAATATTTAAAATATGTTTAATTTCAACCTTCATACACTGCACCAAATACATGCATTTCAAAATTAATTTAGGACTTGTTTTTTATTTAAAATAAAACATTATATATATATATATATATATATATATATATATATATATATATATATATATATATATATATATATATATATATATATATATATTTGTAGAATTATGTTTATTTGTAAATTATTTTTATATATGTAATATATATTATATAATATATATGTAATATATATTTTATATATTTAAATATATTTGAAATACATTTGAAAATACATTTTCCACCATATTTAATATAATGGACTGCAATCTCTGCTAAAATCTGCTGAAAATGTGCATTTGCTTAATGGAATCTTGTTTATTTGCGTCCTACAGTAGCATCATAGACATAACTCTCATGCTGTTAACTTTGCAAACATTTGCAAATCCAGTTATTCGTTTTTCAAAAGTTGCAACTATATTTAATTACTTTAGTTCCTCCCCAGCGTTGAATATAATACGCATTCTATACTGAACAAGTGATCAGAGTCCTTGATCCATCTCTCAGGTCAAGCTCTGACAGAAAGGAGTGTAAAAAAACAGATAAGAATCGGCACATTGGATTCTCAAACAAACCCATGAGACAAGCTTTTTGATCATCCACTGTGGTTCCCTCATCACCAAGTGTGCAAGAAAGAGAGCAGTGGATGAAAGAATCTATTAGATTTGAGTATCACAGTGTTTGTTCTGCATTGTGAGCAGTCAACATGACTCACAACCCCCTGAATCTCTCATGTTTAACCCCTGTGAGCTGCGCATCTTTATTTCTGCCTTCCTCAAAGGACTCGCTGAGGCCCAGAGCACATTTCATCCATCTGTCCATCCACTTTACCCGCCATTTTTATGCCAGCTTTTTCATTGCTCCACTTTCATCACCAAGATATTGTCCAAAGATTCATTTTCTCTTTCTTTCTTTCTTTCTTTCTTTCTTTCTTTCTTTCTTTCTTTCGTCATATTTAGATGTTTGTTTAAATGCATTTTACATTGATAATGACAGGCTGCAATGTCAAGCAATGATGATGATGATAATAATAATAATATATTACATTTTTGGGGGGAGACTCCTTATCCACCACCAGTGTGCAACATCCATCTGGATGTCACAACAGCAGCCATATTGAGACAGACAGCACACCACACACAGAAGATTGATGAAGAGGGGAAAAAGTGATGAAGTCAGTTATGATATGGGGATGGTTAGGGGGCCATCGTGGTCAGAGGTCGGTGGGCAAATTTGTCTAGGATGTCAGGGTTAACCCCTACTCTTTTCGACCGCAGAGTGTCGAGACCTTGGTTTAACGTCTCATCCGAAAGATGGTGCTCATTGAGCAGTATAGAGTCTACTTCTCTATACTGGGGTGTTCGGACCCACACAGATCAAATGTACGTATTTTATCAGGCTTGCTTTTGTAAAACAGTTGATGATACTGCTGACTGTCTGTGTGACTAATATGAAGGAATATTTGAAACTGTTTCCACATTATGATGATGAAATGTGAGACAGAGACATTGCAGCCTGCCAATGAAAAGAGGCACTGGTGTAGTTAGCAAATGCTCAGTAGCAATTTGTGGGCTGGTTTGTATGTAATTCCAAAACAACACTCTTCAAACCAGTTTGATCATGTCAGTTACTGTAAGTAGGTGTAAATCCCTAAAAGCGAGTGCTGGGTAACAGGTTAAAGGAATAGTTCACACTAAAGTAAAAATGTACTCACCATTTACCGACCCTCAAGTAGTTTCAAACCTATGTGAGTTTATTTCTTATGTTTAAAAATCTGAAGACAAATTAGCAACTGCTATTCATTTCCACAGTAACCTGTAGCCATCTCTTTAACCTGTAATGATTTTTTTTTATTTTCCTGCAGAGCTGTTTCATCAGGTAAGATGAGGAGTGTCACTGCATAGCTATTTTTAGATTTCACCAAAGATGTTCACTAGGACTCAAGTCTGGGCTCTGGATGGGCCACTCAAGCTTATTTACAGAGTTGTCCTGTAGTGACTTTTTTTTTCTTAGCTGTGTTCTTATAGTCGTTGTTCTGTTTAAGGATGAACTGTTGCCCCTGTCTTGAGGTTCAGAGTTCTTTAGAGCAGGTTTTCATCAAGGATGACTCTGTACATTCCTGCATTCATCTCTCCCTTGATCCTGACTAGTCTCTTAGTATCTGTTGTCACGATTGTTTTAGAACTTCGGATTCAGTCGCCTATGAAATTACTAGGAATAATAAATGGCAGAAAACGGTCAAACTACATGCTCTACAAACAAATGTTTGCATGACTATACAGACCAAGTAGAATATTATAATAAGAAAATATTAGTTTGCAACATCAAACAGCAAAACGAGCAGCTTTTAATGTAAAAAATGAATGGAAGTGAATGGGACCAGAAGTCTCAAGCCAAAAAGATTCGAATGGCTGCGCCCGCTTGGTAGCTGGACTTGTGGATGAGGTTTTGGAGTTGATGAACTGTACAGTAGATGCACAATTTCATCATCATCAACATCATTTTCATCTGCTTATCCAGGGCCGGGTCGCGGTGGGCAGCAGTATTGTTAGAGAACCCCAGACTTCCCTCTCCCCAGACACTTCCTCCTGCTTTTCCAGGGAGATCCTGAGGTGTTCCCAGGCCTGCAAAGAGACATGTTCCCTCCAGCGTGTCCTGGATCTTTTCCCAAGGCCTCCTCCCGGTAGGACATACCTGGTAGGTGTCCTGGAGGCATTCGAAACAGTTGCCCGAGCCACCTCAGCTGACTTCTCTCGATGTGGAGGAGCAGTGGCTCTACTCCGAGCTCCTCCCGGGCGACAGAGCTCCTCACTCTGTCTATAAGGGTGCGCCCTGCCACCCTACGAAGAAAATTAATTTCAGCCAATTGCATCCAAGATCTTGTCCTTTCGGTTATAACCCAAAGCTCATGATCATATATGAGAGTAGGAACTTAGATTGACCGGTAAATCGGGAGCTTTGCCTTTCGGCTCAGCTCCTTCTTCACCACAACGGACCGGTACATTGACTGCATTACTGCTGCCGCTGCACTGATCCTCCTGTCAATCTCACACTCCATCCTGCACAATTTCTGTATGCAAATTAAAGAAAAGTAGTATAGCTGCTGTTACTAATATTTGTGAGCAAGATATATTTAATAAATTGAATGGGGTGTACTAAATGATATGTACAGTAGCATACAGTTATAGGATGCATTGTGTATATACTTCACTCAAAAGACATGTCTTTAATCTAGATTTTAACTAAGAGAGTGTCTGAGCCTCGAACATTATCAATAAGATTATTCTAAAGTTTAGGAGTCAAATGTGAAAACGCTGTTCCAGTTCTTATGGAAGCTTCTCCTCTCTCCACAGAGAAACACAGGAGGTCTTTCAGAGTGAATATTGAGTTTTCAGTCACCTTTCTTGTCTCCCCCAATCATTCAGTTTGAGTCTAGGAAGAGTCCTGGTGGTTCCAAACGTCTTACATTTATGGATGTTGGAGGCCATTGTGTTCAAAATGACCTTCAATGCTCGAGAAAATGTTCTGTTTCAACTAAAATTCAAGGAAAATGTTTCCTAACCCAGCTTCTCCGGGGGGTTGTAACATAACATAAAAATTTGGGTTGAAACATAACCTAAAAAGTTAATTTACATAGTATCCATGACACACCATTAGTTGGTAATTTCACTTAGAAAACGAAATGTCTGTAAACACGTTTATGTGGTTTTGGTTGTCAAACACTCACACAAGACTAAAGCTTGAACAAGTAACATGCTTGCTTTAACCATTTTCAGGCCCCCAAAATGTTGTTGTTGTGTAAAACTACAGCCAAAGCAAATACGGAGATTCAGAATATTCAAAACCAAATGCATTTAGCTACTAATGCATAACTACAACTGCTATATCCATTTGTAGATCTACTTTGAAATCTAGGTCAATGATAAAACATCAGATGCATATTCCTGCACAAGTCCCACATTGTAGGTTTATAATAACTCATATCTAGGGCACTCAATGAAAAAAGAGAAACACAGATATGTTTTAAAGCTTCAATATGAATTTTCAAATCTATTCTGGCTTTATGAATTCCTCTTAGGTCTAACGCTCCTGGGTACAGTACATACAGTACTTTAAACACCAGCGGAGGAACAACATACAGTACAGTGAGGTGTAGTGATGAAACTGGAACAGAGATGTTTCAGTACAGGCCTCAAGGTTCAGTTCACAACATAACCATTTTGACCCTCAGTTTAGAGTTTCAGGCAACCAGCCAGGATTAAATAAAACAAGTGGAGGGAATATACAGCACCTTATCATTTTATTCATCGATCTGGACCTTGACTAAAGTCAGTTGAGGATGCAGCATGAGATCAGCTATGACTAATACAAAAAGTGGAAGAGGATGCTTGTTTTGCTTTAGTTTTTCAATCAATGAAACAAAACTTTGGCCACTCACACTTTTTTCCAACTGTTAGAACGATTTAGCAACTAAGCCGATAAGCACCAAGCCAAAAACAGTCAAACTGCACACAATGAGCTTCATCCTAAAGGAAACGGCAAAGCAGATATGCGCTATAAAACTCGATAACCTTCAAAAGACGTTGGTGCATTTTGGAGCCCATTAGAGCATCTTGCTGCAAGCTTCAGACGCAAAGACCTCTTTATCTCAAAGTTAAACTAAGTGAAAAGCACGGTACATGCAGTGAAAGAGATAAACGGAGAAGGAATAGAGGGTAAATGTGATGAAACGAGGTTTGAGGAAGTGAATGAGGACATCAGCACTGGAGGACTGAT